TTATGGGCCCAAAACGGACACCGTGTGCAAAAGTTACTCTCAATTCTTCGAACGTCGACAATCCGAATATGCAAGTCCTCGTTCTTCGAATAAAGGCAAAAATCTCTCATACGTCATGACAAAGCCATGAGTTCAATCGAAAACGGTCGCTACACTTCGAAAAAGTACTTATAGGCCCAAAACGGACAACGTGTGCAAAAGTTACGCTCAATTTTTCGAACGCTGACAATTCAAATATATTCAAGTGCTTATTCTTCGAAAAATGGCCAAAATCTCTCATACCTCACGACGAAGCCGTGAGTTCAGTCCCAAACGCTCGCTACATTTCTGAAAAGTACTTATAGGCCGAAAACGGACACCATGTGCAAAAGTTATGCTCAATTCTTCGAACGCTGACAATCCAAATATATTCAAGTGCTCGTTCTTTGAAAAATAGCCGAAATCTCTCATACGTCACGACAAAGCCGTGAGTTCAATCCAAAACGATCGTTACATTTCCAAAAAGTACTTATGGGCATAAAACTGACACCGTGTGCAAATGTTACACTCAATTCTTCGAACACCGATAATCCAAATATGCAAGTGCACGTTCTTCGAAAAATGGCTGAAATCTCTCATACGTCACGACGAAGTCGTGAGTTCAATACATAGCGGTCGCAACACTTTCGAAAAATACTTATGGGCCCAAACCAGACACCGTGTGCAAAAGTTACACTCAATTCTTCGAACGCCGACAATCCAAATATGCAAGTGCTCGTTCTTTGAAAAAAGGCCAAAATCCCTCATACGTCACGATGAAACCGTGAGTTCAATCCAAAACGTTCGCTACATTTTCGGAAAGTACTTATGGGCCCAAAACGGACACCGTATGCAAAAGTTACGCTCAATTCTTCAAACTCGGACTATGCAAATATATTCAAGTGCTCGTTCTTTGAAAAACAGCTGAAATCCCTCATACGTCACGATGAAGCCCTGGGTTCAATCCAAAACGGTCGCTACATTTTCGAAAAGTACTTATGGGCCCAAAACGGACACCGTTTGTAAAAGTTATGCTCAATTTTTCAAACGCGACAATCCAAATATGCAAGTGCTTGTTCTTTGAAAAATGGCCGAAATCCCTCATACGTCACGACGAAACCATGAGTTCAATCCAAAACGGTCGCAACATTTTCGAAAAATACTTATGAGCCCAAATCGGACAGCGTGCGCAGAACTTACGCTCAATTCTTCGAACGCCGACAATCCAAATATGCAAGTGTTCGTTCTTTGAAAATTGGCCAAAATCCCTGATATGTCACGACGAAGCCGTGAGTTCAATCCAAAACGATCGCTACATTTTCGAAAAGTACTTATGGGCCCAAAACGGACACCGTGTACAAAAGTTACGCTCAATTCTTCGAACGCTGACAAGCCAAATATATTTAAGTGCTTGTTCTTCGAAAAATGGCCGAAAACTCTCATAACTCACGACGAAGCCTTGAGTTCAATCCCAAATGGTCGCTATATTTCCGAAAAGTACTTATGGGCCCAAAACGGACACCGTGTGTTACGCTCAATTCTTCGAACGTCGACAATCCAAAAATAAAAGTGTTTGTTTTTCGAAAAATGGCTGAAATCCCTCGTAAGTCGTGACAGATCCTTGAGTTCAATCCAAAACGGTCGCTACATTTTCCAAAAGTACTTATGGGCCCAAAACGGACACGGTGTGCAAAAGTTACGCTCAATTCTTCGAAAGTCGACAATCCAAATATGCAAGTGCTCGTTCTTCAAAAAATGGCCGAAATCCCTCATACGTCACGACGAAGCCTTGAGTTCAATCCAAAACGGTCGCTACATTTTCGAAAAGTACTTATGGGCCCAAAACGGACACCGTGTGCAAAAGTTACGCTCAATCCTTTGAACGTCGACAATCCAAATATGCAAGTGCTAGTTCTTCGAATAATGGCCGAAATCCCTCATAAGTCACGACGAAACCTTGTGTCCAATCCAAAACAGTCGCTACATTTTCGAAAAGTACTTTTGGGCCCAAACGGACACCGTGTGCAAAAGTTACGTTCAATTCTTCGAACTCTGACAATCCAAATATATTCAAGTGCTCGTTCTTTGAAAAATAGCTGAAATCCCTCATACGTCATGATGACGCCGTGAGTTCAATCCAAAACGGTCGCTACATTTTCAAAAAGTACTTATGGGCCCAAAACGGACACCGTGTGCAAAAGTTATGCTCAATTCTTCGAACGCCAACAATCCAAATATGCAAGTGCTTGTTCTTTGAAAAATGGCTGAAATCCCTCATACGTCACGACGAAGCCATGAGTTCAATCCAAAACAGTCAAAACATTTTCGAAAAATACTTATGGGCCCAAAACGGACACCGTGTATAAAAGTTACGCTCAATTCTTCGAACGCTGACAATCCAAATATATTCAAGTGCTTGTTCTTTGAAAAATGGCCGAAATCTCTCATACCTCACGACGAAGCAGTGAGTTCAATCCCAAATGCTCGCTACATTTTCGAAAAGTACTTATAGGCTCAAAACGGACACCGTGTGCAAAAGTTATGCTTAATTCTTCGAACGCTGACAATCCAAATATATTCAAGTGCTCGTTCTTTGAAAAATAGCCGAAATCCCTCATACATCACGACAAAGTCGTGAGTTCAATCCAAAACGATCGTTACATTTTCAAAAAGTACTTATGGGCATAAAACAGACACCGTGTGCAAAAGGTACGCTCAATTCTTCGAACACCGACAATCCAAAAATGCAAGTGCATGTTCTTCAAAAAATGGACGAAATCTCTCATACGTCACGACGAAGCCGTGAGTTCAATACATAGCGATCGCAACACTTTCGAAAAATACTTATGGGCCCAAACCAGACACCGTGTGCAAAAGTTACGCTCAATTCTTCGAACGCTGACAATCCAAATATGCAAGTGCTCATTCTTCGAAAAATGGTCGAAATCCCTCATACGTCACGATGAAGCCGTGAGTTCAATCCAAAACGGTCGCTACATTTTTGAAAAGTACTTATGGGCCCAAAACGGACACCGTGTGCAAAAGTTACGCTCAATTCTTCGAACTCTGACAATCCAAATATATTCAAGTGCTCGTTCTTTGAAAAACAGCCAAAATCCCTCATACGTCACGACGAAGTCGTGAGTTCAATCCAAAACGGTCGCTACATTTTCGAAAAGTACTTATGGGCTCAAAACAGACACCGTGTGCAAAAGTTATGCTCAATTCTTCGAACGCCGACAATCCAAATATGCAAGTGCTCATTCTTCGAAAATTGGCCGAAATCCCTGATACGTCACGATGAAGCCGTGAGTTCAATCCAAAACGATCACTACATTTTTGAAAAGTACTTATGGGCCCAAAACGGACACCGTGTACAAAAGTTACGCTCAATTCTTCGAACGCTAACAATCTAAATATATTCAAGTGCTTGTTCTTTGAATAAATTTGGGTGCGTGCCGTCAACGAACCTCCTCATTTTCGCCTCCGTGGTAAACGAAGAAACGACGTACTGTGATGGTGCCCTCTGCCTCTTGCCAACCACCAACTCCGGCACGTCAACAGCAAGCGACACCCTCCCGATCTTCGGTACCTCCTCACCTACCATCAGGACCACCTCCTTCGTCCCCTCTAACACAAAAACTACGTCCGGCGAGTATGGGGTCCGAGATGGTACCTTTTTCGCCTCGGATATCCCCTCCTCCTCCGACACCCTCTCGACCTCCACCTCTGGTACCCCCTCCTCCCCGACACCCTCACGGCCTCCTCCTCCGGCACACTCTGGACCTCCGCATCGGGTACCCCCTCCTCCTCCTTCGACACCCTCGCGACCTCTTCCTCCGGCACCCTCCTGACCTTCACCTTTGGTACCCCCTCCTCTCCCGACACCTTCACGATCTCCTCTCCTGGCACCCTCCTGACCTCCGCCTCGGGTACCCCCTCCTCCTCTGATACCCTCATGACCTCCTCCTGTGGTACCCTCTCCGCCTCGGGTACCCCCTCCTCCTCTGACACCCTCATGACCTCCTCCTGTGGTACCCTCTCCGCCTCGGGTACTCCCTCCACCTCGATCTCCATCGGGGCCCGATCCTCCATCTCCATCTCTATCGGGCCACCGAGATATAAAGCTAATGCATTATCCGATGCCCACAACGAGTCAACATACCCCATCTGACCCCCTTGGCGTTGATAACGACCGACTCCTCCGTTACCCTCTCCGTCCTGATAGCCACTTGTCCCTCCATCACCCCTCCGTCCCGATAGCCGCCTATCCCTCCATCTCGATACTCGTCAGTCCTACCCTGATACCCGTCAGTCCCACGCAGGCCTGCTATGTCATCCCGTATCACCACAACCTTAGCATAAAGGTCTCCTAAACTGACTTGACCTTAGAATAAAGGTCTCCTAAACTGACTTGTACCATCTTGACATCACATCGTAAGTTAGCTACATCGCCTCTGATCTCTATCATAAGTCAGAACATATCATCGATGGAAGCACTTTGACTACATGTAGCATATTTACGTGGGAGGTGTCCGGACGCAGGAGACGGTGATCTCATGTAGGGAGGTGACATCCTCGGCGGAGGCGACATCTTAGGGGAATGTGACATCCTCGACAGAGGTGATAATCAATGGCACTCCTAAAAAAAAACTTTGCAAATGAATACCTTAATTAAAAAATCATAATGATAATCAACAAATTATATTCAATTAATATACCGTGTCCCAATTGACGCTGGACTCAGGACTCTCTCGAGCACTACAATCTGTCAACAACTTACGGATATAAGTCTGATTCTTCTCCTCGATTAATGGTGTCAGCTCAGTGAGGACTTCAATCTGACATATTGACATTTCATCGAATTATTGACCACGAATCGAGATTTCGAAAATGACATACAATAGAAAACGCAAATGTATAATACGTACCTCAGGATCGTCGAGGATAGCCGATAATTTTGCAAAGGACTTGTCTTGTGCTCACCAGCGGTGCATCCGAGGGATGTATGTATCCCCTCTCTTCACATACGGACCAGTCAGGATGGTGACAGTCTCGTAGACCCATATCTGCAACAATTACGATTATTATATGTACAATTTAATAAAAAAAATAGATAACTCATTATGTTAAACATTTACCTGCAAAGCTAACGACATGCCATATACATTATATTTACGCTCTGGCCTATCTCCCCTAAGCATCGAATGCCCCCTCCTACAGATGCGTAAAGTATCGATAAAGCATCTCTGCCCCCATGGATAGCTGTTGAACACATCGATGTTATCAACAACTTGCGAATGAAAAACATCAATCAACGTCTTCCTGTGATGACACCTCAGTACGCTCTCGAGTATAAACACCATCCCCAACTTCAACTTGTCGGATATCTGGTCGCATCCCCTGAATGCATCTCCTAATTGCGCCAGTGTCATTGTCGTGTGCCCATTAAAATAATCATTTAGCAGCCTCTTGTCTGTCGGAATAATAGCCCTTGCTGCCTCTTCGCCTGTACATCTCAATCCAGTGATGAGGGCAAACTCGAAAATGGAAATGTAGCAACCTTGCCCCCCAAGATCAAAGTGGAGGGCATCTCCGTCAACTGGCTTAAGCAGTCGACATAGTAATGAATCGATCCACTGTCCATAAAACTGTACAGAGCGCAGCAAATATAGGGGCCATAGGCAGGATCGACGTAATATCTCTGCGTGCTCCTCGTCCAATGAATCCAACACTGCTGTGAAACTGACAAAGTTACAATTCGACGTAACTTTTCCAGGAACAAGTCTCAAGGCGGCGTTCAAATGGTAATCCACCTTACAAAATTTCAAATATTAGAATATTTGAAACATAATGTCACAAAATTCAATTAACCGAATTGTAAATAATATATGCATGAAATAACAAATAATAAACAAAATGAATTAAAAATTAGATAACAAATTATAATAAGCGAAAAACTAATTTTTGTAAAATTATTTATTTCATAGTTTATTTTAATACTTGTTAGAAAATTATTTCAATTCTTTATTTAATTAATTTTGATTATTTATATTTAATTACTTATTTAAATGAATTATTTTGAATATTTATATTTCTTAGTTATTTAAATTGTTTATTTTATTTAAATGTTCATTATTTATTTCAATTGTTAATTTAAATTACTTATTTAAATTGTTTATTTGTTTATTTAACATTTATTTTAATTATTAATTGAATCCTTAAGTTTAATTATTTATTATGATTTTTTATTTAATTATTTTCATTAAAATTATTTATTGAACATTTAAACGTAAATATGTAATTATTTGTTATTTTTCTTTAGTTGTTTATTCAATATTTATTTTAATTATTAATGGAATATTTAATTATTTATTTTAAATGTTAGATATTTATTTCAATTGTTTATCTACATTTTAATTACTTACTTTGATTATTTTTATTTGTTTATTATTTAAAATATAATTATTGTTTCATTGAAATTGTTTATTTTATATTTAATTATTAATTTTGATTATTTATATTTAATTACTTATTTAAATAAATTATTTTGAATATTTATATTTCTTAGTTAATTAAATTATTTATTTTTATTTAAATGTTCATTATTTATTGGGGTTGAGAGTGATTTGTTAGGGGCAATATTGGGTTTTCATTGTTTTTAAGGTTTTTAGAGATTTTGCAATTTTTTTTTAAACAGTAGTCAACGGCCATTTTGGAAAAATTGCTCTTTTTGGTGACTATCTGCCACCATTTCCTCGTCTCACTCTTCTCTCTTTAAACACGCACAATCGCAATCGAATTGGGGGCACTATGCATATAGAGTCGATGACGATGACGACGCCCAGCACCTGTCTTCTCTCTCCCTTAATCTCTCTTCTCTCAACAGTAGCAGTCCGCCCTTGGAAGATAATCTTCGTGACAGTGGTGTTACCCTCGAAGTTGAATCGCCCGAGCGGTGGCTTCAACATTGGAAGAGAATCATCCCAAGTAGCCCGTAGAAAAAGCGTACTGCCTACACTTTTTGGAAGAGTGGTAACCGGTGGTGGTGGGTAACCTGTCTCGCTATGTAAACGCTACTTCCTTTTAGCGATTCAAATTGATACACACGAATTTTCAGTTCACAAATTGAGAAAGAAGGATTTGGAACCCGCTTATAGACCCGAGTCTGTATGGTATAGGCGACAATTGTGGTTTTTTTTGGTGGTATGGTGCAGACAGCGATGGTGGTTTGATTTTTGTGGGTGTCTATTTTTTTGAGTTTTGAGTGGATCTGGAGATTAGGGTAGGTTCGAATGGTGTTTTGTGTGGTGGTAGTGATGGTGTGTTGTGTGTTGGTGATTTTTGTGGTCGTGGATCTGGTAGTTGGGGTGGGTTTTATTGAATTTGGTGGTGGTTTTGGCTGGTTTTTGTTGATTATGCAGGTAGAGATACTGGCGTGATGGTGGACCCGACAGTGGTTTTATTGGTGGCGAACAACGATGGTGATGGTGGTGGGTTATGGTGTTGGGAAGTGTGGTCGTAAGTGGCGATAGCAGTGTTGGTGGCCATGAACCAATTATTTGATTATATGAAACAAAGTTTTAAATTGTGACCTTAAAATTTGATAACATGCTATTGAAATATAATTTGTCACAAACAAATGTGAAAATCTGTGACCGATAATAAAACTGACCTGTAATTTTTTTTAATTTGTAACTTATGAAATAAATTGTGACCTGTAAAATTTTTTATTTGTGATTTCAAAATAATGTGTGACCTACAAATTTTTTGATTTGTGACCTCAAAATAAACTGTGACCAATTAATTTGACAATATGAGATCAGTAAAAAAGTTATGACCTACAATTATATATTTGTGACGTTATTAAATTTAATTAATTTATTAGCTAATACCTGAATTTTACATATTGAAACTTGACACCCAAAAATTAAATTTATCGTACTTAATCCTTAACTTTTGAATTTTTTCCTTTGGCAGCTGAAAATTAAATTTGTCATACTTAACTCCTAGCTTTGGAATTTTTCCCTGAAAGTTTTTTCGGATTTTTACGAGTTTGGTCCAATTATTCGGCCGAATCGGAGTCGGACCTGGGGCCCAAGTTGTCTAACAGTCACATGCGGGCGCTAAATGCACGCACTCGATTTTTCGAGGCAATTTTTTCCCGCCATTTTTTCTAAAGCAAAAAAACCCAGTTTACTCTTTTATACTCTCCTCGAAACCTAAACCGACAAACCCTAATTTCTAGATTGGCAATGGAAGAAGAAATAAAGGCTGAATTCACGAGAAGTGGGTACATTCTCGATGACGAGGAAGAAATTTGCAAGCAATGTGAGATATTTGTTGTTTCTCAGCTTTTCGGTTCGAAAATATCCCAAATTTATTTCAACTGTTTCTCATATAATCCTTTTCTTTTTCAGGTCTGACTTTTTGTATACAGTACAAGCTCAGCCCTTCGGATCTCGTCTCCAGCTGGGATGTTTACTCTCTAAACAGGTCGGAGTTTAATTTCATTTTTTTAGACAAAGAATCACTGATCTTTCCTTTAATATTTTTGTTATTATTTATCGTAGAAATGAAGCAAATTAATGAAATTTCATTTATTTTTAAATTTGTTCTCGTAGTGGTAGTTATATGCAATTTATTTGGGTCAAACACTTTTCCGTTGTCAAAAGTCGGTTGCTGTAAGATAACATTTTCTAATAAGTGGATGTGTTTGTTTGTGTTAGGAAAGTTCAAAAAACTTAATGGTAAAATTTAGTAAGAAAGAGTTTTTTTGACGGTCAAGGGTTTTCTGCAGCATGGAAATATGATATTTACACCAAGAAAGGGTTTGGTTACTTATTTGTGATACAAACATGATATTATTTATTTTATAATTTCTTGTATTCAGGATTTGAAGTTTGTTTCGCGTTTATGATGTTATTCTTGTAACAGGGGCTTAGAACTTATGGTGCAAACTGCACATATGGGTGCATTCTTACAGCAACTCCAGAACGAACAGCGGGACAAAGTTATAGCAAGAGAGTCTAGCTTGCATATGTACTCCAATGATGTCGCCATGTGAGTGCTTCATATGTACTCCAATTGCTGAAGTCCATTTATAGTACAAATGTTTAACATCAACAAATCAGCCCAGTGTATTGGACTCCAGCAATTTGCTTCTATCATAAATTGTCTGTGGTGCTGAATGTATAGCATTTTTCTTATAGCGTCTCTTGAAAAATTGGTCTCTCTCTTTCCTATTACTAGTGTTTTTTTAGCTTATGATACCTTATATTGGGATAGCTGAGATGGGAAATGCACCTCTTTACCCCCGGTAAACAATTAACACAAACATCTCTTTCCTCCAGTCTCTTGTGAGTGCTTCTGTTGCAGTAGTTATAAATAAGAATTTCATGAAATGTGTGCAGTAACTCCACTTGGAACACATGTTGAGCCACTTGATCTGAAATTTTAAGCTGTTAGAGAGTAACAAGTATAGCATTTACGTCCTGTCTCCAAAACACTCCTTCATGTTTTGAATTTAGGAACTTTGTATGTTCTAATATCATATTGAGCCACTTAATCTAAAAACTTGAGTTGTTAGAGAGGAGTGCAAGTACTCTGTGTCCAACATGTGTTGGATGCTCCTCGAACACTTTATTATGGTTATTTTTCTTTCTTTATAAAATACATTATATTTTTTCAACTCATAGTTATTATTAAATAACAAATCGGTGCTCATATTTAATAGAGTTCAATAAGAAAAATTAATAACAAATATAATACTAAATTTATATTATATAAATGAAGAATTTTAAAGAATTTAATCAATGCGTCGTGTTGGTTCTTTTTTGAAAAATTGTGTGTTGGTGTATCTGATACGTGTCCGTATTAGTGCATCATAGTACAAGTATATCATTTAAATATTGTCTTCAACAATGTGATTGCTAGTGATATCAATCTTCACTTCTCTATCTAAAATCTTACTTTTTGAGTTGCATTAATCCCATATATTATACAATGTCAGTCAAGAAATTTATAATTATACACAGGTTACTGAATGATGAAGATGAGGACGTAAAAGACGGCATTCTTGATACACCCACTGATAAATCTGCTAGGGCAACTGAGGAGCTGTTTGATTCGGCACAAAAAATGAGGGGGAGCTTATTTGCCTCTGGGAAGCATCTAGAATCAGTGACTCCTTTTGGGCAAAGAAAGAACAAGTTTGTGGTGCAATCCACACTTAATGAGCATCCGAATATACAGACCATTAAAGAAGAACATGATCATGCAAATTCCGAGGATGATATTATAAAGAGAGTTCAACCCAACAAACGCTGTTCCTTGCTAATTAATAAATCTCATCCCAAGCCCGGTTGTAGATTCATGTATGACAGAATTGAAGACAAGGTATTGGTGGTTTTTATTTACCAGAGTGCTTACAATTTTTACTTCATAATTGATGCTCTTATTTTATATATTTATTTTTTCTGATTTAGTTCAATTTCCTGGAAAACTGCATAAATAATCATGCAACGACATTTGTCTCTTCTGGGCGATATGAGGAAATAATGGACCCTTCCATTGCCTCTCAGGTAATTCCACTCCAACCTCTGCATGTGGGTATGTGACAAAGAGAGAGGGAGTGAGAGGGTCGGTTATGCAATTGTTAATGCAAAACTTTAGGGAATGATATAGGTAAAATTAAAGGGAACGTCTCTTGCAGTTATCAGTCTCATCTCCTGGTTGCTCCGTAATTTCATAAATGTTAAGTTTCCTTCAATTCCACGTGCTCTGTTCTTTCAGAAAAGTGTTTTTTCCGTTGGCATGATCTGTTGTGAGGAAGAAGGTCGCTTGAAGGAAAAGCCTATTTTGTTGCAAAGCAGGTAAATGACTACTGCTCTTAATATTGTTCGTTTGAAGATTCTTTCCAAATTTTTCTTGTTAGTTGAAAAGAGTTACAACTAAAAAGCAAGCGTAGGTATGTCGATGCTCAAACAATCTTAAGCCAGTTTATTATTATGATGTAAGGTGCATAGATGACAAAGGCTGCAGAGCTGGAATAAATGTGTCCAGTCTTATAATATTTGAATGGTTGCGGACTGAGATTTTTGGTAGTTAAAAGTTGTGTTCATGTGTGTGTGTGTGTGTGTATTGGAGGAATTTGGAAGTATATTTATCAGGCATAGTAGTCAGGGGCACTTGGCTCTGTAAAGTGCTACCTTTACATTTTGGTTAAGTGAGGAAAGGCTTGGATGTGTGTAAATAGATCTATAAAACTGTCATTTATCCATGGTAACATGTGAAAGTTTCCATTTTTGCTGTCAACATTTAGCTATCAATCCCACTGGATTATTTTGTTTACCATTTCGGCAGTAATGTCCGCAGTAGTTTATTCCTGTACCTGTCAGTCAATTATTATGGTTGATTATGTTTCAAATGATAAAATATTTATGACAATATGACATTGTTTATCATTCTGGAGGGCAGCGAGTGCATCTTGACTTCAAATTATGATTGATGCTAAAGGGACAACCAATACTTTCCGCTTGATACTATTAGACATGATGAAATGTTTTTGACAGTGTTGAGCATTCTGGAGGACAACGTGTGCGTCTCGACTTGCAGAAATTAAACCAGTTTTCCATTTTCCCAGGCCAGGTTTGGTTATTTTTTTGTTGGACAGATTTCATCTTCACCGATGTGTTAAATTATTATCTAGGATGGAGAATAACCTTGATACAGCATATATCTATATGTATAGGTGGTGGGTATTGAAGGGCATAATCCCAGTGGACACTGTCTAATTGCATCAAAAATTGTTGACTGTGTCCCCTTATCAGTTTCTTTGAATGATAATCTCCCTCCGGGAAAGAAACAAGCCATGGATAAGGATCTTCATTCAATAGTTCCCTCTCAGGAATCTAGAGAGCTCTCATTGGTATGTAAACTTGCATTCCATATTAGAAAATGAAATACAATCAGCACGTTTGATTTACATTTTCCCAGGGAATCTAACTCTGTTTCAAATATGATTAGCACGGATATGTCATGGTTTTGTACGTAAGATGCTCCCTGTATAGCTTCTTTTCTGATTTTTCTGAAGGACGCTGCTGTGATCTTCCTCATGATCTTGTACTTTTGCCCTTTTATCTTTGATTATGGTTGACATAATTAGACTAGATACACAAGTCACTGGAACTTTCAGGAACGGCAATAGTTTCCGTAATTGTAATATAACAAGCGCTTTCCAGGAGTGTGGAATTATTTTTTGTTTTATATAATGAAATATACTGCTGTTATTTTACCAACATGAAGGATATTTCTACGAAAGAGGGTTGAATAAATATTTAAAATTTAATACAAATGTGAAAAATTACTCTAGAGATGCATGGCCTTTCAACCTAAAAATTTTTGTGTTATTAAATTACTATATCTACTGTCATTATTTCTTGTGAATTCTGGATCTATTATTTTGTACATAAAGTAATGAGCCTTTTTCGTGAAATTGAATCTTTGGACAGATTGTTGCTGCAGGTCCTTTTACCACAACAGATAACCTATTGTTTGAGCCTCTATCAGAGCTTCTAGCCTATGCACAACGAAAGCAGCCTCAATTGCTTGTACTGGTAGGAACTCCATGTCCTCATGTCAAGAACTTATACGGTCAGCATCTGTGTTGATAAAGGATGAAGAGGAAGACAAATAATTTAATTTCAATGTTTCATGAAATCTTTGACAGTTAGGGCCATTTATTGATTCTGACCATCCCGAGATTAAGAAAGGATCTGTGCATCTAACTTTTGATGAAATGTTTCACCTTCAAATCCTAGGGAAGGTATACAAGTTAAAAAAATTATATGTTTGTAACAACATTGATTTATTTATTTCCTTATCCTCTCTCTCGCTCTCACTTGTTTATGTAGCTTCAAGATTACGTTGAATATATGGGTTCCACAGCACGCGTGATTCTCATGCCATCAGTCCGGGATGCTAATCATGACTTTGTTTTTCCTCAGGTGACTTCCATTTTCTGTCACACCTTCATATGCTGAATTTTTAATTGGCCTTTGAGATAGTACATCAGCCATAACATTGACATCTTCCTCTGTTTTACTTTGGCAGCCTGCTTTCGATATTCAACCAATAGATTTCAATTATCAGGTGAGGAAGAAACTGCAAAATCTTAGGAATATATTTTTATTTATTTTCTTTTGGGAGGTGGGGACGGAGTACATTTTCTGTTAAAAAAATAACATTACTGATGCTAAATGTTGATTACTCTCAGATACATAGTGTCTCTAATCCAGGAATTTTCTCTGCAAATGAGGTACGTATGATAATCTTCATTCCCTATGAGGGAAGTTTGTTTACAATATACTTGTGTGTATTTGCACTTTTCTGAATTTTGATAAAGTAAAATTTTCAACAATAGTTATATTCTGCTGGCAAGATAGCATTTTATCAACGGGAAGTTTTCTAAATTCATCGTTTTTGCTTACAGGTTAAAGTAGCTTGCTGCACTGTGGATATACTAAAACAACTTAGTGCAGAGGAAATCTCTCGAAATCCACGAGGGGGGTCCAAGCAACGAATGACTAATCTTGCAAATCACATCTTGAAACAACGCAGGCAAGTTTTAATAATCAATAGAACTATTTTGCTTGATTTCAAAGGTTAAAATGATTAAGAGGTTTCTACGTCAACATTGAGTTCTCATTTATGTTCGATTCTGCACCTCTGGGACAGCTTCTATCCTCTATATCCACCGGCAGAAGAAGTTCCTTTGGATTTTTCTCTTGCATGGGAAGCTCTTCACATTTCATCAGTTCCAGACATACTCATTTTACCTTCAGATTTGGCTCACTTCGTGAAGGTTAAGTATTCTGGTTTCAAACTCTAGTTCTATGATAAAATACAGATATGAAACCACCCTAATGTAACAGTGACAAAATTATCATGTTTTCCTCGTTCGCAGATACTCTCCATTGAGGGCGAAAGTGAAGAACCCGTAAAGTGCATTTGTGTTAATCCAGGGAAACTGGCTAGAGGTGAAGGCGGCGGCTTTTTTGTAGAGATTAACTACAAAGAAAATCCTGACTTGGCTAGTGCTTCAGTAATCCGGATATAGGCTGTGTTTTATCCAGACAGATGAATTTTCCCATTACAATGATCTATGTAATTTAAGGATCCAAGATACAGTTATAGAAATTTATTGAGATCCACAAAACAAGTATACACTGATTTAAACTTTTAGATAACGTGGTTGATTTACTCATTCAACCAATTTGTTCATGAAATATTGGCGAGATGGGATATGCTACAAGTATGATATAATGTCACTTGGGCATTATACGCACCAGGGCGTAAGCTTTGATATACATGTAAAATAATTCAGTATATTTGTATGAACTGCATCTAGAGTTTTCAGTTGGATAATTTTTCTGTAACAGTCAATTTTGCAAATTATAGCATTCTGCTATTGGGAATATTCACGTACTAGACATCATTTTTAATTAGGAACCATATGAAAAGGAAGCCATACAAAAAGTTCTTGCAACCTTTGGAAGAACTCAACAATTGTTGAAAATCATACGGAAGGCTCACCTATATTCACTATATTACATAACTATCTTGACCCAAAACTTGATGCTGCATACAAACAAGTGAAGTCGAATGTGCATGTCACTCGTTCAGAGAAGGAAGTCTAGTTTGGCAGTAACTACGTGGAGTTTTTTAAAGCGAGTCTCCCACATCACCATACCCCATCAATCGTGAATACCTACAAGAACAATGAAAAGTTAGAGAAGAAAGAAATTCCAAGCAAGAGAGACTAATGGTTAAAAGACCTATTCACCAACTTCTTCTGTTTGGCCATATATTCCCGAATTAAAAATTGAATATAGTCATCGTTCTCACAAGATTTACAAAATCCGAAATAACATTCTAGTACAAGTTAGTATATTTGTCTTACTAAATGAGACAAACAACTCTTAAAAAAACTGATATTGAAATTCCTAGTTGCATCTTCATTGGAAAAATCTTTGTTAAGCCAATGACTCCTGCTTTTGCAGCACTATAGTTCTTGGACAGCGACCTAGAGTAATACATAAGGTATGTGTTGGGTACATAATATTATACCATAATGAAAATGTACGGTGGATAAGATTTTAGCTCTTTTTCTTCTTTAATAAATGCTGATTGTTATCTAATCCATGTCACCAGACATGTTAAAAGTGTGAGATTGTAGTAGCTTTTTCTTTTTATTATCGTTATTTTGGCAGCTGCCTGCAGAAAATGAAAATCCCAAATTAACTACACGATTTCTCCGTATCTGCTCATTAGGAGCTTTGAGTAATTGACCTGTGTACATTGGAACACCCCAATAAGATTTAGATCAACAACTTCCTTCCATTGAGATGTCTTCATTCTCATCAATAACCGTCCCTAGTAATACCTGAAACCGTTGCAAATCCTTAAGAAGACTGGATCAACAAATAGACGTGGCAATAAACGTGAATTAAAATTTTATTACCTGCATTGTTAATCAAATGTCTACTGCTCACCATGCATTCGCTTCCTGTAGATGTCTCAGTGTCATATCAAACCAATAGAACGAGTATACTGCATAGACTAAAATGCAACAATGCATTTGCTCACAGTTTTAATAATCGGATCTATGTCTGCTTCTTTTGAAACATCTCCACCAAAATTAAGATACCGTCCCCCACATGCCTCAGTCTGCAATAAAAGGTATAGTATAAAATCACCAGTCGATTTCCTTCTTTTACATTTAACGGAGAAAAAATGGTTCTCAGTAAGTAAAATCTGTATGGTTAAATGCAGATACAATCATTGCATCAATGTGTTTTTCTTTTTTTTCCTTTCGACTTTAGTTTTGTACCAAGTGATATTAATGGATGGCTGGCTCGAATTTGGTGCCTGTCAAAAGGAAACTTAAGCGTTCAAAGACGACAACTACCAAACATAATAGCTGGATACATCAGAATCTCTAACATGTTAACCAGTAATATTTACATAGTAAAGCTTAAAAAAATGCTCAAGCAAAGAGATTGATACATTATAAGTGGCATTATTTATCTCCCGGAAAACTTCTTATGCCTCCTTTGACGACCTTGCATAGTTAACCAGAACCTAAAATAGAGAATCCATTATCAACTTTTGCAAAATGGAAAGTAAAACATAGGTTCTGAGCCTTGCAGCATAAACAACTCATATTCATAGACCAAGCACCTTATGAAATATTTCAGAAAGAAGTCTTATAACACAAAATATATCAGTATAAAACCATCGACTTTTAATAGGCGCCATTCGAACTTAGCCCCCGTTTGGCCCCCATTCTTGCCAAAATTTAATGGTGGGAATAATGTTTTTTTGAATAATGAGTGGTTGAAAAAAAAAAATGAAATTTTTTTGATTTGCGTGTAATATTATTTTATGGAAGATTGTGTGGTTGAAAGAGAGAGAGAGAGAGAGAGAGAGAGAGAGGAGAATGAGAATAGGGGCAAACGTGGGCTAATACTAAAGTGTTATTATCGTCATCACAACAAAGAAATTGAAATACCATTCTTGGCAAAGCCTAAAGAAAGTAAAAGTACTTCTTGGGAAAGTAAGTAAAGACTACTTTTGAGCAAGCTAATATGTTTGAAAATAAGTTACTAAACTTGAAATTAAGCCCTGCTATACTATCAAAATAATTGCTTTTTCTTTACTTCTAAGTAAGAAAGAGTAACAGAAATAAAAAACTTTTGGAAACAAAATTTACTCAAAGTAATTTTGATTCAGTTTTAAGCTTAGCCAAACACACTCCCAAAAAACTTCAACATATGCTCATCAAAATTAACATTCCTCAAACACCCGAAAACTAAAGTTAAATTTTTCCAAATTTTCCAATAACTCGCAGAATTATCCTCGTAATTACATGAAATAATTACAGACATTCACATACACGTACAAAAAAAAATGTTGGATTGCAATTTTTTAAAAACCGATGAAGAAAAGGATTTAAGGAATCTGCATTGCAAGTTCAAAGAATGTGGGAGCTCCCGATGATAGTTGCCGGAAATGGGCGATCTTGCAATACGACTGGTAGCCGTGCTGAACCTTTTTTGCATTAAAATGGGAAAACGAGAAGAAATTACAATTTTTGGTGAAGGGAAAAAAAAAAAAAAAAAAAAACTCCAAGATAATGGTGTTTATGGGCTAAAATCGAAGTCTGTTAAACCAAAATACATTCTGGGCAAAAAGGGGCTCAAAACAGTTTTTCCTAATTACACTCTTTTTTAACATTTTATTAATCAAAAATATATTATTCTTAATCATGATTTTTTTTTAAAATATTGTTAACGTGCTTTAAAATGATAGTCAAATATTTATTATTTGTTTGGTTTGGATTAAAATCTGATTTTAATCTAAGTCAAAGTCAAACAATCAATATTAATCACATCTTTCACGAGTCTACAATTTTTCAACCACATATTTCAAAAACTTCTATCGCAATTTACTAAAAAATCTAATTTTAATCCCCATCAAACACCTTTCAAATCACATTTTGCTTTTTTTTTTTTATTTAAAAATACAATGGATAAATGTATCATTGTATTCTATGTTAAAAAAATTTTTGGAGAGAAATTATAATTATGAACAATTTATGCTAATTTGAGAGTAAGAATATGAAAAAAAAATTGATACAATGTATAAAGGTCATGAATATTCCATACAATTAAAATGTAGTTTAGTTATTAAAAATATTGTGAATATATTTTGCCTTACTTTATTGAATGGTTGGCTGAAGTTTAATTTGAAATAAATTCACTAATAAGTGTAAAGAAAAGTAAGCACTAAAATACAATAATTTTTATTTTGATAGATAGAAATAAAGTTAGATATCTTAGAAATATGACATTTTACTTGCAAATGAAAGGAAAAAAAAAAAAGTAAAAAGTTATAATGCAATTCAATGCCTCTGTTTGGAATTTATTTTATTTTCCTTAAATTTTACTTTTCGAAGTCAAACATTAATTTTTATCATATATTTCATAAATAATAAAGCTCCACTGAAGGGAGAGGGTTAAATTTTCAAATACTACCCACTTATTAATTATTTGTTTTTTGAAAAGTAAAATTTTAGCTTAAAAAGAAGAAGAAGAAGAAGAAAAAATCCAAACTTAGCAATTGTATTTTTCTCGTGTCATCTTTTCACCATTTTACTCTTTTGAAAATATCAATCAATTGTCTTATAGTTCTTTTTAATTTTTTTTGACCTCAATTATTATATTCTATTATGTTTTTGAAATTTAAATCAAGCAAACATAAATAAAAGGAATTCTCGATGAGTAGCAATGATTAATGTTTTCATGGTCGAGCAAAGTCCAATTCATCACTCACCTATTAAAATGACGTGATTTTCAAATATGGGATGAAATGAAATTCATTTAAAAAGTTGAAATTCAATATTAACAATTTGTTGTCATGTGTTATTGTTCGCGAAATTATTTGTTCCGATTTAAAATCCACCGCAAGTGTATGGTTCGTTAATTAGTAGTAAAATGGACTATGAATCCAAGTATCGATTCCATAAGGATTGAATTAGTTCGAATTATCCTATTATGACCTTAACCGAAACACTAAAATCAAATTTGAGGTTTTGTACTTTAACTAACAAGATGTAACATTTGATGCAAGTATGAATGAAGAATTATACTAAATGCAAAATAACTTGGATGCAATTTACTAGAATTTATGGATTTAATGTATATACTAACGCACTAGGATCACGAATCCCCAAGTAATACCCGTTCAATTGTCAATTATGCAACTTTGACACACAGTTCTACAAAAGATGAATCAATATTCCTATTTTAATTTAGTAATCTCTCTCGAGCAATGCCAAACATATCTCAATATATGATTCGACTATATTTCTATGACAAAAACTAACATACCGAAATGTATTATAAATTCACGAATATCCAATAATTCACATAAGGTATAGAGGTATATTTCTATCCTCTTTCGGACCCTATGAAGATTTATACTATGTCAAACCTATTTTTCTTCTTTCGAATGCATAAAACAGGTCACCACAATCATATAATTACGTACACAATAATCATATGAAAATAAAAACGTAATAAATCAATCAAATCCGGAACTTGTATTCAAATACGTTAAAAATCCAAATTAGCAATTAAACGTGGTATTACAAGATTTATCGATCTCCTAACAATGATAAATCTAGCCTAACATGCTAAAAAGAAGAAAACATAAAAATATTTGAAGAAACGACATCACCCGAATCAATTTTAAATCTGATCTTCACTTGGCGCGATATTGTTCTATCCTTCGATTCTCTTTCAAAATCTCTCAAAAACATGTAAAAAACGGCGTCCCCTACGTACTGGTCGAGTTTTTGTATTTATAGGACCCTAAAAATATTGTTTCCATAAGAGTTTCGGAGGAAAAAGGAAACTAAATTTTCCCTCGAGAATTGCTCTATGCGATCGCATAGAGGATAGTACTATGCGGTCGCGTAGTACTATCAATTATGGTAGATGTGCGTTTTGGTCCTTCCACTTGCATTATTTACTTCTTGGTATCTTCTCTTAATTCTTTTCATTTCATCATTCCACAATATCGTCAATTGGTAATTGGCTTAATCGATTTCTCGATTTGTTCATCGGATCAATTTTTGGATATTTGCACTTTGGTCTCTAAACTTTCACTTTGCATCATTTTAGTCCTTTTTCCCGTCTTTTCTCCTGAATTTCACAATGTTCATCGTTGTTCCCTACAATTCACAAATGTACTAGATTAAGTCACAATTCAATCATTTTGCTCGTTATTAAGTCATGTTTGTGACCTAAATAAGTGTGCAAAAACACCCTTATTAGTTATTATCATGATTCCGAAAGTAATCATAAAATCTTTATTTTTTAAAAATAATCAAGGATGTGATACATGTATTTAAAAGAAATTTAAGAGTTACTTTTTTGAAAAGCATATATTTCTTATTGGTTTTAGAAAATTGTGAACACAGCAAAACATCTTCACATAGAGAGCAATTTTGTTTATTTCTTTTTTTTTTTTTTAAAGAATTACCTATAAAAAGTCAAATGTTGTGTTAACTTTAATAAGCAAAAGTTATCTTGACCTGTTTGGATTAATGACCTTATTTTGGGAAGATTTTTTCAAAAATTATTTTCAACTGCGCATTCTATGAGTTACATAATTTTTTTCATACATTCTAGAAAGATTTTTTTTTTTCACTGTTAAAAATCTCTCTAAGAAGGTGCAACATATAGTTTCTTTTACTTTTATGCAAAATAATGTTTCTTATTAGAAAGTAACTTTTTTATCTTATTGTTATATCAGTTATTAATTTATTTTTAACTTTAACAAGTAAAAATTAATTTATTTATCTCACTTACTTTTTAAGAGAATTTTTTAGGCTTAGCCAAACAGGCTCCTAATTTGCATTTTTCTACATTTTTAAAATTTGTATTCTATAAATTATTGTATTTTTAATAAGTTAAGTTGTTTATTATTGTATCATTATCAACAGATAAAATTAAATAAAATTTTATAGTAGCTGCTCTGCTGCTGGGCAGCTGGTGGTGCTGCTGACTGTTTGCACATTTCGCTTTCTCTCTTCACAATCCACCCATCACGTGACCCATTATTACAACCCTTCAGCTTTTTTCATTTTCTTTATCATTTTTCCTTCTTGATCTTCATTTCCCCTGATCTACTTAAGATTTCAACCTGTATGTACAGCATTTTTGCGTAGAATTCAGTTAAATGGTGAGCTGCGCAACTTTAGCGAGGTGGGTCGAGGCTTTTTGGTTAATTGTTGAGGGGTTATTCTTTAAGTGTAATTGAGTTGTTTTAACTCTTTGGTGAAGGTTAGTTTTGAATGTAATTAGGTTTTTGCTTTGGTTTGAGTAATAAAAGGTAGGCATTTTGAGATTGCAGTGGGTGAATTATGGTTTTTGTTGCTTCACATTTACTCGGTTTTTATTTGGAGACTGGATCTTGAGTAAATTGGGCATTAAGGCGTGATTTGATTTGTCTTTTGAGAACTTGAAGTGGAATCTCCTAATAATGATAAATCTAGCCTAACATACTAAAAAGAAGAAAACATAAAAATATTTGAAAAAACAACATCACCCGAATCAATTTTAAATCCGATCTTCACTTGGCGTGATGTTATTCTTTCCTTCTTTTTTCTTCAAAATCTCTCAAAAACATGTAAAAAACGGCGTCCCCTACGTACTTGTCGAGTTTTTGTATTTATAGGACCCTAAAAATATTGTTTCCACAAGAGTTTCGGAGGAAAAAAGAAACTAAATTTTCCCTCGAGAATTGCTCTATGCAACCGCATAGAGTAAAAATATTTAGCCATTTAAACTTCAGTATGCCTCTATTTAAAATCCCTCTAAGAAGGTGCAACATATTGTTTCTTTTACTTTTATTTAAAATAATGTTTCTTATTAGAAAGTAACTTTTTTATCTTATTGTTATATCATTTATTAATTTATTTTTAACTTTAACAAGTAAAAATTAATTTATTTATCTCACTTACTTTTTAAGAGAATTTTTTAGGCTTAGCCAAACAGGCTCCTAATTTGCATTTTTCTACATTTTTAAAATTTGTATTCTATAAATTATTGTATTTTTAATAAGTTAAGTTGTTTATTATTGTATCATTATCAACAGATAAAATTAAATAAAATTTTATAGTAGCTGCTCTGCTGCTGGGCAGCTGGTGGTGCTGCTGACTGTTTGCACATTTCGCTTTCTCTCTTCACAATCCACCCATCACGTGACCCATTATTACAACCCTTCAGCTTTTTTCATTTTCTTTATCATTTTTCCTTCTTGATCTTCATTTCCCCTGATCTACTTAAGATTTCAACCTGTATGTACAGCATTTTTGCGTAGAATTCAGTTAAATGGTGAGCTGCGCAACTTTAGCGAGGTGGGTCGAGGCTTTTTGGTTAATTGTTGAGGGGTTATTCTTTAAGTGTAATTGAGTTGTTTTAACTCTTTGGTGAAGGTTAGTTTTGAATGTAATTAGGTTTTTGCTTTGGTTTGAGTAATAAAAGGTAGGCATTTTGAGATTGCAGTGGGTGAATTATGGTTTTTGTTGCTTCACATTTACTCGGTTTTTATTTGGAGACTGGATCTTGAGTAAATTGGGCATTAAGGCGTGATTTGATTTGTCTTTTGAGAACTTGAAGTGGAACTGGATAAATTTGAGCTTGCCCTCTACTATGGCATGCTTGCAGCTGTTTCAAATGATGATTTTTTACTTGTGTACAGTGCAAATGTGAGGTGGAATTTTGTTTTCTCGAGTAGTAGAATATAGAATCAGGTTCATTTTCGTGGAATTTTGTGGAAAGTTTAGCAGTATTGCGATTTTTGTGTGATCTTCATGATGTGCGGTGTGAAGTTCGCATTTTCGGAGGATTTTGATTGAGATTATATTGTGTGCGTTAAACCACGGGTTGGAGATGCATCCATCGCCAGCAATGAGAATATCTCCTAGGAAGGAGCTGAGGGTAGAGAATCACAAGAGAGGACGAAGTCTTGAGAGTGTGATTCTCTATCGGGAGAAGGATGATGATCTCGCGTTGTTTAATGAGGTTCAGAACAAAGAAAGAGAGAATTTCTTGCTTCCGTCAAATGACTTTGATGACATCTGTAATTTCTCACACTATAATCTGCTTTTATATTTGGTTTATAGAATTTGCATTTAATGAAGCGTGTACAACGTATATCTTCAGATTTCTTGATTTCGTATTGTTGACAATTGTTGCTTTTTATCATTTATGGCATCTCACAGGGACGAAATTAAGGGACTTTTCGGATTATAAGCTCGGAATCTCCATTCCAACTCGGAGAGAGAGTAGTGACCTGCTCAATGCAGAAGGAGATAAAAATGATTATGACTGGTTAGTTGCTTTCTGTTGTCTTTTCTTTATCATATTCGGTTTGAAAATAATATGTAATTTGGAACTGCGATTATTTCTGGAAACAAATAAAGAGATACTTATTAGACGTCCTTTTTGAGAAATATTGGGCTTTTCATATAAGTTCATCTATGCCATTCTGTTTGACCAATTATTCAGTGCATAAAGAAATAAATTTTGATACTAGAAGGGATCTCCTGTGTTGATTTACACAGTCGATGGTTTACTGCTGTTATACTATATAATGGCCTTCTTACATTTTACTTGTTTCTTACTGTTATGTAATGCATTACTAAAGGTTAAAAACTCCTCCCGACACTCCACTTTTTCCTTCTCTGGACGATGAGACACCACCAATTAATCTTGCACGGAGAGGCAGGCCTGGGAGTCAACCTCTTTCAATCTTAAGATCATCCACGGTAAGATTGTGAGAACACAATAATTCTAAATGCACAGAGGATCTCCAATATAACTTATCTAATCCTTATTCCTGTTTGTTCACACACATATTGAAAATTTGTTCAAATTCAGATGGAGAAGAGTTATAGAAATAGCAGAAGTAGTGCACGTCCCCATCGCCTTAGCCAATCTCCACGGGCTGATGATAATATTTTGCAATCAAGGGGCAGGTCATTGTCAGCACCACATGCAAGTCCACCTCCTACTTTGAGGCATATTACTTCATCAAGGAGGCCATCTCCCCCGCCAAGTAAACCATCAACTCCTTCTCTGAGGTCTTGTACCCCATCTCCTAGGAGAATGAGCACTGGTTCTGCTGCCCCATCTAGGGTGAGAGGCACCTTACCCGTCAAGACAAGCAAAGCGTACTCTGCTTCACCTAAAATAAGCACATGGCAATGTAACATTCCTGACTTTTCTTCTGAGGCACCTCCTAATCTTCGTACCTCGTTGGCTGATAGACCAGCATCGTATGTCAGAGGATCCTCACCAGCATCCAGAAAGGGCTACAGATCTGGAAGACAATCAATGTCTCCAACTGCTTCTAGAAGTGTCAGTTCATCACACAGTCATGACCGAGATCCATTTAGTTCCCACAGCAAAGGTTCAGTTGCATCATCTGGTGACGATGATCTAGACTCCCCACAATCCATTTCCATGAGCAGCTTGGACCGCCCAACTCCAAAGAGCATTGGTGCTTTCCCAAATAATAGAGCCCTGGGTTTTTCTAAAAAACCATCTAGAATTTTGTCCTCAAGCTCTGCTCCGAAGAGATCCTTTGACTTGGCACTTCAGCAAATGGTATCTACTTTTCTTGTTTCAGTAATAATGACGAGTTTCCTGATAGCTATTATTTATTGTCTTGTCACCCTAGTTGTCTATTGTTCACTCTCTCTTGGTTAGTTTTTCAATTGCTGCTAATTGTTACTTGATCCACCACCTAAGAATTTGGCAATTTAGTGGATTGTAATTGAGTTGTGTGTGCATGTCCATGTCTAGGTTTTCAGTTGTGTGGTCATGCGCTCACGTACATATTCTGCTGACATGCATGGCAAATGAGGAAATGACAGAAATGAAACATGCTGGTCCTATCCTTGGCCATTAATAATTTGTCCATTATGTACTTCATCAAATTTTTACAACTTCAGGGATAGTTTGTATGTATGTAAGTAAATTGTACCTGTATGTATATCTATGTATAATATATCTACGTACACACACATTTTCCTTTCCTTTTACTTGCTCTCCAATTTTACTTCTAGTATGCTGAATTGGACTTTGATTGGGCTATTAGGAGACACCATTTACATGATTTCAGTGCAATGGAGATGTTAAGGTAAGAAAAATTTGTGTTACAATATAAAGAGGCAGAATAAGAAATGAGGATAAATAAGAGTTGTTCAAGGTCAGCCATCGAGGATAAATTGAGTGGTAACAGATTGAGATGGTTTGGACAGATTTCACAAATGCTGCTATATGTAGTGGTTAGGAAAAGCGAGAAAACTAGTGTTAGTGATTAGGGAAGAAGTCGACCTAAAATTACATAAGGTAACCAAAAAGGATATGAATAGTTTTTTGGTTTAAGTTTGGAGATGGGTTTTTATCGAGCAAAGTTGAAGAAGAGACACAATGTAGTGGGCCCAACATAAGTCTTGGGATAAAATTAGTAGAGTTGAGTTAGAATTTATTACTTGTCAAAGCTTGATCACATTTATTTATTATTATTATTTTTTTTTTAATGAGTATGAGTGTCTGGGTCAACTTACGCGCACCTCGACTAATCCCACGGGGCCCTGAAGTTTATAGTCAGGTACTCACCTTAGTGACCCTGAGAGAACTCGAACTGGTGACTATTGGGGAGCAAACCCAATGCCTGATTATTGAGCTACCTCTCAAGGTTAAAGCTTGATCACTTTCTAAACTTAGTAAATACAATCAGTCGATCTTACTGGTTTTTCATCTATTTAAGTAATTTGATTCATTAACGAACTGAACTAATGTGGGAAGCATTGTGGTGTTGCAGTTTGTTGGGTCTCTGGAACTATTTTGTAGTATCTTGTCAATCATTTCTACTTTTGAATTTAACAATACATTAAAGGGTGCATGTTGAATAAAACCTACTATGCTTCTAGGCTGAGATGCTCGAACTCTTCATTTCGGCCGGAGTACCCGTGTCGACACGACACGACACAGGTACCGGTACGGAATACGGGTCCGATTCCTCCAATTTCAATCGGACCCGGCAAGAAATCTTAAGAAAAATTGAAAATTTACCTTATTGGATGGAGATGGAAGGTATGTGTGAAGAAATAGCAGGTTAGCGCCGCGCCGCCGGTGATCTTTGGTCCAAAATCTGCTGGTTATCTTCCGGTGGAACCCTAGAATTGTTAAGGAGAAGAAGGAAGATGGAAGACGGGGAGACGGAGACAGGAATGAAAGAAGAGACTTGGGTTTAATTGGAGTTGGGTCATTTTGATTGGGGCTAATAATATGGAAGTGGGTTGGGTTAATAATATGGATGTGGGTGGATTTAATTGGAGGTTGGACCATTTTTATTGGGCTAATAATATTGATATTGGATATAGATGGATTTAATTGGAGTTTGAGAAATGGATATGAGTGGGCTAATAATGTAATTATTTTTATACCAATCATATTCTAGTTTAATAAAATATTCAAACAATAAAATTAATCATTTAAAAAAAAAAAAAATTCAATTCATCATTTTTAATTAAAAAAATACGACAATATAAAAAAAAATTCTAAAAAACAAAATTGAAGTTTGAAAAACGTACCCACGTACCCGTGTCCTAAATTTGGACTCTTTTTAGCCATGTCCCCGTATCCCACATTTTAGAAAATAAAAGATCCGACGCTTTGATACATACCCGTACCCGATACCCGTACCCGAGTCCGAGCATCTTAGCTTCTAGGTTGAAGATTCACACCCTTTTAAATTCATCGAATGTCTATGTTCTTGGATACTTAATTCTTTCTAGCAGGTTATGAGGATTGATTGTTTGTACACTTGACTCAAATTTATCGAACATTCATACATGAGTTACCATCGGCAATTTCTTTTTTTCCAAAGAAAGCCATTTTGCTCATGTCTCCATCACTATTATGGTATCATATTTTTATCTCAAGTTCCATTACGTGCTTTCTGATATGTCTAAACGAAAGGAATCAGTGCAACTAATAGTGATTATGTATGCTTGACAAATTATGTGGAACTAGAATTCTTGTTTGCCCACATGTGCTCTAGTTCTAATTATAATTTTCTAGGCTAATTAAGTTACCATGTGAAGGCAATTGGGGAATAAATATTATTATAGCAGATTAAATGTCAGTGTATTTGTGAGACACTTCCTACTGACACATAAAATGTGATGTGACGGCGGCTGGTTCTTTGAGAGCTTGACTTATGACCACACTTTTTTATCAGTGGTTTTTGGCAGAACTATTCATATGGACATTTTTTTCTGTTTCTTGTACAGGATCGTCGGAAAGGTCCTCTGAATATGTTTAGGCCTTTATTGTCCAATGTCCCCACTTCAACACTCTATGCTGGCAAAGCAAGTACAGCTCATCATTCGGTTACTTCCAGAACTTCTTCAATTACAACTAGCAATAATACCAGTTCTGATCAGGTAACAACAGGCGTACATGATACCAAAGGAAGTGAGCAAAACCTGCAGGACACGACGAGGGAATGTGTAGAGGGACACTATTCTGAAGCGCAAGACAAAATATTTGAATTGGATCGTTCTGATGCTTTAAATGAAGATGTTGAGCTTAACACCCGTGATAAATCACCTAACAATCAGGATGATAAATTTGATGGCCACTCTGTAGTAGTTGTCACTGAAAGTTGCAGCCATATTGACACTGCTACAGGTACTGCTGCAGCTTCTATAGTTCCGGAGACAAGAGGTGATTGTTCAGACGCCGTCAGCCTTGAAGATACTATGGTTTGCTCTAAATGCGGTCACACATTCCATTCTGCTGAATTAGTAATGGAGGGGGACCTGCAACTTTGTCTGCGGTGCAGAAATTTGGAAGTAACCTCAACTAGAACTACTACACTGGTATCAATGGCAGTTAGTGAGAATACTTCAGGAGATTTTGTGCAGATTCTAGAGCATGGGCCAGCTGAAGCTTTAGACTGCTCCACTGCAAACTCAGAATCTTGGCAAGTCACTAGTACTGGTAAAGCAGGGACCAAACAACTCCATCGTTCATATAGCGAGCCAACCCATAATTTGAATTTCTCCCCTTCATGCTCTGTTTCACCACTAATGGTGGGTGAAGCTGAGCTAACTATCACCAACCAACAAGTGACTGATCAATCTATTGATGACAACTCTGCCTATCAGCATGTTGGGGGCTATTCAAGTTCAAATGTTGATGTTTCAGAAGGTGCAGGTACAGCTTTGTTACTGAAGAGATCTAGTAGAAGCCAAGGACATGTTCAAAGTAGGAGTAGGAGTTTCACAACAAGTAACATCAGTTATGACGATTTCTCCTGTATCGGGGACAGTATAAACAGCACGAGAAGCTCCATTGGGCATGGCAGTGCGTCAATGACATCTTCTGTTGACTTCGGGTCTTTGAGGCAAATAGAGACCCGTGTGCAACGGCAAGTAAATTACAGTTGTCTGGTGCTTCAAGTCATGGTTTTCAAGTCCTAAGTGTGGCAACAAGCTCTCAAGATGATAGTTTTGAAATAATTGCTTCCAATGTCGAAAATGATGCCAGGGAGGCTGCATGCACACATCTTCGACAACAATCATTGACTTCAGAATGTACAGAAGCAGGCAATACATGCACCGATAATGAAAGTAATAACAATTTTAGAACTGCCTTGGAAATTTCTGGCAATGCAATGAACATTCATATAGCAGATACTTCAGTGGTGTCAGTTTTAAATATTGAAGAGCGAGCATCACACGAGAGTGGTGACTACTTGACAAACAATTCCAGTAACTCCATGACTACAGAAGCATCGTCTACACTTCCCCAGAATTGTACTCTAGGGGAAGATGCCACACCAAATTCATGTGATAGGGTGGATGTTGAAGAGGTGCCTAACCCAAGTTCTTTGGATGCTATATCCGAAGTAGGAGTTGAAAATGGCGATATCTTTTCTCCTGATTCACAATCTGACACTGATTCCACCAATTCAAAGAGTGGCATGAATGATTCAATGCAGCCTTCTGTATCAAAAGGACCCAATGATGATACAATAGCATCTGTTGAAGAACCTGACAACTCAGATCCTGGACAGAGCGCCCTCGGTATGTATATCTTGCATTTATGACAGCTATAAATGCTTATATTTTCTCCTTCCCGCTTCTTACTCCTAAGAATTTTACTCTCTAGCCGGATACAAATACTACTTGTTTTGAGCATATAACTAATTCCAGTTTACTCATCATATTCTGGATTAGATCCTTTGTACAAAATCATTTTGTAATGGCTAAGGTTAACCTGGCTTCTACCATTTTCGATCAGTGATTTTAGCTGTTCACAATAAGTGCTTTTATAGTTCCCAAGAAGATTACCAATGGAATTACCTAATGCAGCAATGCCCTCCCAACCGTAAGAAGCTAGCCTTGTAGATACCAGATTGTTTCTGTTTCATGTTGTCTTCTCAAAAAATTTTTCTCTAAAAATTCTCTTAAAATTTGGTGCTATATCTGATTCTCATGGGCTCCGCGTTTTCTATATGTACTTTGCATGGCATGCATACCTTTTGGTGTATATTTGGTTGGAGTAGAAATTAGGAAGTACATTGCACTCGTAATGTTGTTTGGTTGGAGCGGATTAATAGTAACTTATTTCAATTAAAATATATAGACTAGAGAAAAAGAATATGTTGGAAACAAAGGAGTTTGGAGAAGAGACGAAAGGAATAACAAAAACAATTAAAGCAATAAGATGAAGAAATCAGAAAGTTGTCAAGAACAAATTCGAAGGCTCGAATGCGAGATCGTTGTCCTCAAATGATATTTGTCCCTCTTGGGATTGAATGAGATGCTTAAAGGTTTTGGTAAATGGTTTGTAGGATTATATGAAGCCTTGTAAAGGATTTAATACTAAAGCACAAGTGCAATCCTCTAAAACTTTATGAACACTAGGAAGATATTGGATATGAATGGAAATCAATAGTTTGATTCAATGTGAAATGATATGTGGATCTCAAGATGTTTTTAAATGTTTCTAATGTATTTGTATTGATCATTCATCACCTATTTATAGGCATCAATCAATATACCACGAAATAGTGCCAAAACATGATGAAAAGTGGCAACTTTTAATCCAAAACGGTCACCAAGTTTCAAGTTGAAAAACCAACCAATTTTTAACACTATGCGTACATATAGTATAAATCTTGCGTACGCATAGTAGAAGCAAATTTGATTATGTTCTGGCCAACGCACATCTCGTGTACGCACAAAACGCATAGGCAAAAAATCAAAATTTTTATTTTTCATATTCTTTTGATTCTACTAATTCCACAATTGAGTCCAACAATTAACCCATTGTCATTCCATTGATTTTGAACAAATATTCAATAGAATATCTTAGTAAATTACCCTGTACCTTCTTCAAATCGGAATACTGGCAAGAAACCCACTTATGCATCCCTGCATGATTCAAACATAGTGTTAGCTAAAATGTTTGCAAATTTTTTTCTGGAATACGTGTAAAATTGAACATATTATTAATTTTTCTCAAAGAATAGCTACATTTTGTTTTATTAATTCCTTCGATGTTAACTTTTGTACTCTCTCGATCTATGTATGACACATGCACAGTCAACAAGTATGAATTAAATGCACGTAGAAGCATACATAAAATCTCATATGGTCGAGAATGAAATATATTTACTTCTCTTTCTATCCTGGTGTCTGCTAATGATTGTGGAATAAGTGATTTTCCTCAAATAGGAATATTGAAAAGTTTTCTTTGGCAATGATTTAATGAATCCTCAATTTTATTTGTTTTTTGGCGTATATATATATATATCTTCATTTTTGCATCAGTAGCGATTCACATGCATATCTTTTTCTTTCCTTCTTTTTTTTATATTTCAATTTGCAAATATTGTTATTTATTGATCAGTGATCAAGTGCAAAAAACCAATAATTTTTCTTAGTGCAAATGTTTCTTCTTCTTCTTCTTCTTCCTCCGTTATTATTATTATTGCTTTTTTAGGAAAACTACAATTGTCGACACTTGGTTGTCCTCTTAATAATGGAATACTTTTATGTGGGAATGTTGAAGTAGTTATAAACAGATTAAATTATAAATAAAATAGAAATGAATGGTGGATGAATAGTACTTTTGGATCCCTCGCAATGTGTGGTTTAAGTGTTTATAAACAGTTCATAAACATGAGCCAAAGATAGGCTTATTGAATATTTCAGTTTAGAAATTTCACACGAGTGTTTTTCTTCTCATTATCTTACTCCTCGGTGGATGACTTTCTTCTCATTATTCGTTTTTGCTCCTGAAACTTCTTTATCTGGCAGATGAATCAACTGTTGTAACGGAGGACAGGGGACGACTAAAAACTAGAAGCCTAACTCTGGAAGAAGCAACAGATACAATACTCTTCTGCAGCTCTATTGTTCACAATCTGGCATACGAGGCTGCAAATATAGCGATAGAGAAAGAAAACTCAACGATGGAAGGCTTGCGACCTACAGGCATGTTAGTTGGCAAATCCAATCCTGATAGAAGAGATGTGCGCACAAGAGCCATGGGAAAACGTACTCCTAAGTCCCAAAAAGCTCGACAAAAGAGGCCGGAAACGGATACAAAACTGCCTCACACCAATGCTGAAAAAGATGAAAAATCAGATGTATCTGCTGCACGTATTGTTGGGGCTCCTAATAACGCCAACAGCGTAAAGCCTCTGAAGCTTGAGTCGAAGTGCAATTGCACTATTATGTAGTGGAAACATTTTCATCTTTAAGTGCCAATAACGTTTTGTTGGTTCCATTTGTTTTGTACCACTGTTAATTACGTAATTTTGTACAGTTATAATTCTTATTAGGCTGATAAAGGCCATTGGAGGTTTACTGACCTTTCCACTAGCCATTCTTAATAGAATTGGTGTTTGTTCCTATTTCTTGATTAGAGAGCAAGTGAAATTTTTTGTTCTTGTTCGACTCTGCATTCAAACAATTATTCTTGTTGGATGTCATCTCCTAGGAACTATGTTTAGCTATATGCTGCATGTATTTTGTAAATTTTCTTCTTTTCTTTTTATGCAATAACATATTCATTGCTCTCGAGAGACGCGATACTCATATAAATGGTACATTGAGAATGTAGGCGCACGATACTAAACAAAAACACGTTTTTAGTTCAGCAAAAAAGTGAATTTGATCTGAAATTCAAAAGATAAACTAATTTTAAAGCCCCTGTTTGGGCTCCATTAAAAATTAATTTTGAATAAAAATGTGTTTCGCGCGGGTAGTCGCTAATAATTAAAAAGGGATCAGACGATTGTGTAAGGGACAAACCTCTTGAGACAAAATCCAAAAAAGGGGTGTTTTATTGGCAATGACTTTACAATTGGAACTTAAACAGAAATGCCTCTAAGGGGCGCAAGCACACGAGTACTGAAAAGAAATGTTTCAAGTCTAAACTAAGAAATTGAAATTACATATTCTCTGTTTGAGAGTGTTTGATTCGTGGTCCTTTGCTCTATGCCTTTTCTTCTTTTTATATTCCTTTGACGCTCTCTTTGTGATCAACTGCTTAGAAACCGCTTAATTGATTTATAACTGCCCACTTTCTTCATGGCGGCCAACTTATCATGGAACTGCTGTCTCTAACTGCTGCCATTACTCTTTGTCATTCAACCGTCCTCAACTGAACATCCTTGAATCATGGAACGTGATAAGATTACCCAATAACTGTTTCGATAATTGCACTTTTGGATAACCATAACATCTCATGTTTGCTAAGATCTTGGGCGATTCGAAAGTTTGGGCGAGAACATGGTCATAACTTTGGGCGACTGCAAGGCATTTCATTCGCTCAGATCCTGAGCGTCTTGTAAATTTGGGCGATGGTGTTACCGCGTTCGTGGGCTTCTACTGCATTCACTAATAACCCTATTTGGGCCTTTATTCTGAATTGCCCAGTTGGGCTTCATTCTTTGGGCTATTTGAATTGGGCTGCACTTTTAATATTTTTCAACAATTACTCCCCAATATGGCATAATTAATACTAATTATTAATTTTTGCCATATTCACTTTGTGTTTTCCAACAATATTTGAAATTCCCAAGAATTTCAATCATTATTTTCTTCCATAGCTTGAAAAGGTGCGACGTTGCAAACCCTTATAACCCCCAAATGCACGCCATTTCATCGCACTAAATCACGCCTCATTGCTTCGCGCTTATCTCTCGCAATATTACTGTTCATCTTCTTGCTTCTCTGCTACGTTTCTCGAGCAAATTTCAACAAAACTTTATTTCATTCATAATGGCTGCTTCACAATCCCAACCTAGTGACTCTTTCAGTTTCGAAGACTTCCAAAAACTCCTCACTCGGCCATATATAACTCCGAACTTCCTCGCACCAGCCAATGCCGAACTCAATGAGTTCTATCTAGGTCCTTCATTCAACA